ATGTTTCACTGTAAAGAGACATTGTTTTATATTATTATTATTATTATTATTACATAGTTTTTATTATATTTGTTACCTGCAACAAGTTGCGACTTTGCAGGATTTTGTAGTTTATTGATCAGCTTCCATTTTTATTTTGTTGTATAATTTTTTATATGTATGAATAAACTCTATTATTATTATTATTATTAATCACATTAAATCAGCTGTATCAATCTAGAGTGGTGAAAAATCAATAAAAAAATCAACTAGAAATCCCTAAATTAATTTTAAGTTGGCAATAATACATACTTTGTTTACAAAAGTCATCATAGAATCTTCCTTGTGCCGATGTTGAGCAACGGTTGAAATTAACCGAAACTCAACAAGTTCCGTTCAGAAGACCCAATAATTCACCATCACAGAGAACATCACCATACTCAACTGTAGCATCGGCTGAACGCGCCTCATCAAAGGACCTCCCCTGTTGCCTAACTTCGTTTGATCTTAGACTTATGGGATACCCTGTATATGAGATTCAACAAATGAAAGGTCTCAAATGTCTAAGTAATAATAGAAAGCGAAGTGGCGACTTTACAATTTTTGGTGTGCTGTTTGCGAAGAACATTGACAGTGTCACTGTCAGTATTCGTATACAGAGTGAGCGATGTTTAACTTTCAAAGCCATCCTGGATTTAAAAAGAAACTGAATGGCATATAAATATATGGCAGCTAAAGATACAAAAATGTTCTTAATAAAATGATTTCAGGTAATTTTTATTATCTGTCGGAATTAGGGTGTGGTACAAAGGAAACTACTACTGAAGTTCTCTAAACTTTGTGTACCCATCTCAGTTTTTACATCAGTCAATGTTTACCCCTATCAAATCTTTATCCCATCTTACATATTTCCTCATTTTGTGTAGGTATTACTAATACAAAAAATAATTTAACATTAGAAATAAAGAAATATAAATATATATAATATAATATTAAAACAATCCTTCTAGTAAGGCAACATTTTTTTTATAGAATAGTTTAATTTTCGTTTAATATAAAAAATAATTCCTGTGTCATTTGACATTTATTTTATTTGTAGATTTTACAGTTATTATTATTATTATTATTATTATATAAAAATTATATTTTGTGGCTGTATAGATACTTAATTGAAATAAAACGTACTTTTTTCATGATTTTCTTTGTTTATGTTTTGACTTGGTTTCACATGGTAAGGTATGTATATAATACAAATTTAAATAATTTATTTTTTCATCGTGTTTTCAATATTAAATAATCTAAACTGCTCTCACACTAATATTACGAAACCAGCTTTTTCTGTCAAGCTGAAAAATACCCACAAGTACTTTTTATTTAGCTTCAAATCTACCGTCTCAAAATGGCCCTTGTTCTTCAATAAAATTTTTGGGAATAATCATTCGAGAAAATTGTTTATTATTCCTTACAATACAGGCTATCAGACATGCCTCAACAGATTCGATGATAGTCAAGAAAGTACCGCAAAACCTACATACTCTTTTGAAAGAATGATTTGTAAAGAATTTATTTGTACTCAAAATATTGTAATTAAGTCACAGTATTAACTTTATGTCTAGTAGAACAATATTCAATATTATCCGATTTACTTTTTCTAAAATCCACTTAATTTACAAAAATAAAATAAAAAAACAAAGAGGTCAAATACTATTTTAAAAGAAATAAAGAAAATTAGTGCCGCATATGTCTATAACACACGAGATAACCCATCAATTTCCCTCAGTTCAAATGACCTTTTACTTTTTAGTCTTCTGTTGTGCCTGGAATTGTCCAGTCATTACAGCGTTTCTTGATTAAAACATTTATTTTTTTTTTCAACTTCAGGTCTGAATGATGTTAATCGTTGCAAAAAAACAAGGTTAATTTTTTGCTTTTGTTTGCACCCTTCCAGATACTATAGCTATTAACATCTTTATTTATCTTAGAAACTTGTTGCATGATCCATAAGAACAAGTCGAAATATAAAGCCGGGATCCAACGGCGCGTGGAACGGCACTCCACGCGCCAAACTTGCCAGTTCCCGCTCCGTTGGATAGGGCAAGCTTGCCAATCTTCGGTCGGCGCGATGAGTCCCGTCGTCTGTCGGTAAATCAACATGGTTCAAAGGGACGCGGACGTTGGCGCGCCACACATGCTTACAGCTCCAACGACGCGGCTAGGAGCGTGGTACTACCAGTGCCGTGGTAACTTTCAGCATGGAGTGGTCTAACGAAGTGGTGTTAGAATTTTTATCATTTTATGAAGCCGAGCCGATTATTTGGAACCCACGGGATCCAAACCATAAAAACAGGAACTTAGTTCATGATGCCTGGAGGCGAATTTAAGAGCAAATGAGCGTAAAATGTTCAATCGCAGATTAAAAAAAAAAAATACATTAATGGGAATCTTTCGGAAACTTTTCGACAAAAGTTTTTAAAAGAGCCTGAGGGTTCTTGGCGTAAATCTTCTAACATGTCTGTGGCACTGTACCTACAAATGATTAAAAGAAAACTATATTATGACTGTCAGACTATGTCTGTTATTCCAAGCCTTTTCCAAATGTGTGTAAAATAAGACTCCATTTTTTTGGTTTCTGAACCAAATTGCAGTCGTAGAAAAATTATAGTATATAACGCTTGTGAACATCAGTTTTAAACACTTGTTGCAAAATATTCTATAATGTACTTATCTATCTCGATTTCTATACAAAGACACTCTCCACCATCTTCTTTGTTTTCATTTTATTTTTTTGTTATCTTGCCATCCTGTAAACCCCTAACATAAAATAAAAGGCTGAGGCAGCAAAGATACGCGTCAGCTCACGGTTCATCTTTTCATGCAATTAATCAAAATTATGAATTTTTTATCGCCAACACTGCCTTCGTAAAACAGACTGCAATAGGCGCGTGTCCACATCTGCGCGATCCTCATGCGCCGTGGGAACGGTCCGACCGTTGAGACTCAACTCACAACCCAGGATTGCCATTCCACGCGCCGAGGAGTGCCGCTCCACGCGCCGTTGGATCCCGGCTTAAATCGAATACATCCCGTGTAACTCGCAAAACGGGTAACTTGAAGTTGTCTATTCCCAAAACTGAACTAATAAGAGACTCTTTTATATACAATGTTATCAAAATGTACAATAGGCTATCACATACGTTGACAGATGTTGAGTCACAGAATTGTTTTAGAAAGGTGCTCAAGAGATTTCTGTTAACTAGGCCTTATAATATTATAGAATTTTATAATGACGAGAAATTGTGATATGTGTTTTATTTTATTTTAGATGTATGTATTAATGTTAATTTATAATAATGTTTGTTTATATTTTAATGACTATTTATTTATTTATTTGTAATTTGTACAATATTGTATTTGTCAATAAGTATTTTAACTTGGACAATAAACATATTCTCTCTCTCTCTCTATGTGCCATAAATCTAGACGGGTTTTAGGATTTGTTTGTAAAGCAATAGTTTGTACACTGATGCTGTGATTTTCTTCTGAGAAGTTAATACAATTTGTTTTTTTAATATCGAGTTCGTTTTGATATTATGTTCTTCTTATTTCAGTCGAACGCTAGGAATAACATAATTCTTTTATAGGTTCATCCCATTTTTTAGTCTCACTCTCCTTGATATTGACATCAGCGAGGCTGCTATGATGACAATAATATGACTATTGGTTCAAAATATATCACTAGAAGAAACATGCTTATCTATATAGATAGCAGACAAGAATTACTCACCCTATACAGACCACGAATTTACTCAGGATTAGTACCAGAATGTCATCATGCCTTGGTTAAAGTATCCATCAATAATGTGGTTACCTTAGATAACTGTTTTGCCGATTCACTATTCACTTATAAGATCAGTCGTGACAAACGTAATTAAAGATTATTTCGTTGTGAAATTAAAGGAAAGGTGGGATAAAACGGCGAATTGCGAACACGACACTATAGCAAACAAACATAACCTGCGCCTAATAACAGGAATTCTGACTGGCCATTTTAAAGTTAGGAAGCAGTTTCATAACATGAGGCTGTTAGACTCCCCACTCATTAGGAGGTGCAAATAAGAAGACAAAACTATCGAGGATATCCTCTACGATTGCTCGAGGCTCTCATCTATTAAATTTTTGTTCGGCGAGTATTGGCTAACAGCGGCCGAGAGGCACCTCTGGGTCATGTTAACCATAACATTAAATTTGGAAAATGACTGAAGATGTAAGAGGGACCTCATCGTTTAGGAGGGTAAATAATGGACCTATTAAGGCCAAAGTGCTATGGAAGCAACCTTCCCTCCTCACTTTACGGATACAGATGTTCTTACCAATCAAGTTGTACACCTAGGTATTTTGAATAACATTATTGTTTTTCTTATTTGTTTTTGTTAATTTAATTTTCCACTTTTTTCCATTGGTTAATTCTATGCTATTTCAGTCAACTGCCTTCTAACAGTGGCTTCAGTAAACGTTGTACGATAAATATGGAACCGGCTCAACCACACTGCCCCGAGGAACACCAATTTTAACTTCTTTCACTGCGGTATATGGCTTTAATAAAACACAGATATTTTGTATTTATACAATTTTATTTTAATACACTTTTAACAACAGAAATGAAAATTGAAAATGTTTTTTTTTTTAAATTAGAAACACAATTTGATTTGTGCCTGTTGAAAAAGCATGTTGAATTAAAGTAGGAAGTACATATAGCTAGGGATCACACACATTTCTAAATAATATTCTTCTCTGATATGCATTATTAAGGTACATTTACATCTGACATTTATTGCATGAGATTTATGTCTGACAGTTGTTTAGTCCAGTGTAAACACACAAAAATTTCTCTCGGACATATATTTTTGAGTGTTTACACTGGACTAAACAACTGCCAGACAGAAATATCATGCAATAAATGTCATATGTAAACGTACCTTTACTAAGAAGAAATTATAGAAAGAATACGAAAGAATACCAAAATGTCTGCGTTATGACAGTACCTGCCACCTAGATAGTACATTTAAAATATTTTCTTTATCAACAGGTAAGTCTATATCCCAATTTGTATTCGCTATACAAATATAATTTGTTTTAGTTTCTGCAAAATCTATTTCATCGTTGATGATGATTGTTTTTCGATTCAAAAATCGAAATAGATTATGACGAAACCGAAACAGTACATTTTTTAAAATTGTATCACTGGCTCGATAACTGGCAATTGCCTGTTTTGGCACACTTTAGGTGCGTTCAGTTGAACGAGCTTGCTGCAAACAACTGCTACGAAGTCGATCAAAGATTGGTCTTGATGCATTTTGCTGTACTCATCGTCGTAGACGATGGTCGGAACGAACTGAAGATCTGGCTTTAGCGCCGAAGTCTTGTCACCGTTTTGAGCGAGAAGATTGTCCGCTTCCGTAGTGAGTGCACATTTTTTAAAGCGCTTCACGTTGTAGCCTAATTCGTTTGCACACTAAAACAAAAATAATAGTATAATACATACCGAGCGGGGAAGTAGCATCACCGACTCTACTTCTAGTCTAGCAAAAATAAATCTGGCAACGTGGTGGTAAAGTCCATTTACGGTACATAGTACTCACCTTTTAGTACACTTTTAAAGTATAACGTCTTGTTTTTATGACAATTTTTTTTTAAATTAGTTTACATTAAGTAAAATTTCTTTAATTATTTGCTAAAAGAGTTTATTAACTTGGATCCAACAATTTGTGAATTTTTCTTTGAGATAAACTGTAATCTTACTAATATAAAGTGGTTTTTATTGTTACACCTGTAGCTCTCGCGTAATGGTGCCATTAGATATCGTCCGGTGGTGTTTCAAACCCGATTTTTTATCATCTAATTAAAATGTGTTAAAAAGTGTCTTATGACCCGTTGTTGACTCGTTACAAAGTGGATAATAATTTTATTAATTATTCCTAGTAAGTACCTTCTGTATTCCTGTCCAATTATAATAGTATTTTAAAACAAGTACAGGATAAAAAGCTAATATCAGTCTTTAAATTTTCGAAGGACGATAATTTAAGATTAAAATCATTAAACGTAATTCCTAGAGCTAACTTTTTTCTTCAAACACAGCTGTAGTTTGTTGTAAACGCTATCCTGAAAGTGAAACTATGCGGGATCATCATTAATTACAACCGGATTGAAATTTAACAAAAATTCCTATAAAGGCTAAGCTCAACCCAAATGTATGCCCTGTATTTTCCCAAATATGCCTAAATATCTAAATATCTGCAACTACTCACAGAAAATCACATACTGAAAGAAAAAAGGAACAAATCGAATGTTAAAATAAATTAAGCAGTGACCCATCCAGAGTTTAAGTCTATGGGGTAGTGGGAATAAAGTTTAAGTCTAGGTGAGGGTAGTGGTAATATTTATTACTATCATAATTTGATATTTTTTTAAAGAAGATACCTATGAGATCATTGCTAGGCAATATAAAACAAGTTGGTTGAATCTTACAGTCAGGTAATGATTTTGCCAGTTACATATTGAACGACACTTATAAAAATAAAATTGTCTTCTGTCAAAAAGCTAGTATATATAGAGGTAGCATCAGAGAGAGAAGTTGTAACACACATAAAGCGTAAATGTTTACATCAGGACTAACAACAATATCTGAAAACAATGTTACCAGATTTAAGTTGTATATATTTAGACTTTTTAGTACTCAAAGCTTCTATGTTTATTAAAATAATTGATTTTTACTTTTATTTTAAACACATTACTATTTTATGATAAGCGTCTTATAATAGCTATTTATGTAACTAGTTGCAAAATGCCTTATTTTGTGTAACAGGTAAATATTTGCGGGATGGGCGAAGCGAGGTCCGGCAAAATGAACGAGTTACACAAAACGGCATTTCGTAACGTGTTACCTACAAGATTTTTTCAAATTTTGACTTGATTATTTATAAAATTGTTTATGGTTTAAAAATAATTCACCACCATTCTTCTGTAGTTAGGTACTTTCAATCAAATATTTCAGAATTGTTGTACCTGACTGCCCTACGACGTTTTTTTTCTCAATCGTAATATACAAAAAAAAATCCGATATAGATTCAACTTTATCGCACATACTTTATATTTTTCCAACTTGGAGCACATACTTTGATTACTATATATACGGTGCAAGAGAGAGGTCCGAGACGCCCAACATTGGGCGCGGCCATTTTGATTCCTATGCCACAGTTTATAGCTAAAGAGTCAGATCGCTCATTCTGCGTCGGCACTTTTGATCTCAATGTTCCAGTTTATACACTGCGCAACTCGGATAATACAATATATGACAACCGCCTATAATAAAACAGCAGTCTTCTGCGTATCCTGAATTTATATCCCTGGAGTGGATGTTATTTTGGAACTTTCAACTGGTCCGAGTGAGCTAACTGATTCTTTAGCAATAAACTGTGACCCCAAAAATAATATTCACTGACACTGACAGCAGCAAGCAAAATGTCAGGTGCGTTTTAATAATCCGCTTCTGATTATGGAATTGTCGGTTTAGTTGTTTTAACCTGTCAGATTAAAACAAGAAAACCGACAATTCCGAAGCAGAAGCGGATGAATAAAACGCACCTATTAAAAATATTGCGCCAAGATGTAGGCAACACGTAATAAGGGATCAAAATGGCGGAGTTTTCTATCTTATTTTAAAAGACACTCAGAAAGCTGCGCAGTGCGACCATTCTCCGTATAGTAAAAGAAAATCAAAGTATGTGACTTGGAGCGATTTAAGTCAGTTTGAAATAACAAGTGACATTTGTAACTTGCGAAACGGTTTTAGTTTTTCTCTTATGCCTCGAATAGCATCATCATCATCTATTTTCATAAGGGAATAAAGACATGAATTCCCTTTATAACTTAACTTGATTTCTTTTTTTCGATTTCCAGCATATTTTGTCTTGTCACGACTTCAATGTCATGAATTAACTGTGACATTAGGAAAAACAGTTTTCATTTTCTTTTTAAACTAGCTTTCAAGAAAGTGTGTTATTTTGCATAAGTACATAAATATTGTTACGCAGCACCCTGCAGTAGCCTGCGGCTATCATAGGAAACGTAAAGATAGAAAAAGAAGTGGAATGTTACTCATCGCTCTACAGTGTGTCGTCATAAGTAAAAGTACAAGTAAAAGAAGATAGAATATTTCAGAAATGTCCAGAAATGTCATTACCCGTCAAGAATATTCTAGATGACAGTTCGAGAAGGTTCAAGAAGATCAAGCAAGCTATATAAGTCGACGACCTGACGTCAGAGTTTGAGTTTAATGATAGACGTTACATGTTAATGTTATCAGTTGTATCGTTATTGTTAAAGTTGAATTGAGTTATTGTAAAGTTGAGTTAAAATAAATTGTGATACCAAAACCAGCACAATAAGGTGTAAATTATAAAATTTGATTTTGTAATACTTTACTAAATCTAGCAACGGTTGGCAAAGGTTCAAAATCAGTGGTCAAACAGAAAACAGAACTGTCAAATCCAATTCTCAAATACAGTTGACCAATTAATTTTTTAAGAACACGTCGCGATGTTATAGCAATCTGTTAGCTGATCGAGTGTATTCAGTGATTCTGAATTAGTTTGCGAAATAATCAAAACCCAAAACAAGCCCGAATCTTCCGATTATTTAGTTTTGTCTGTGTTGTGTTATAGTGTTTTCCAGAAAAGTTTTTGTTTTGTTTTTAGCTCTAAATAATTTGTAGTTTGTAAAATACATTAACTTTTTGTAATTATGAAGACCTGTACAGTCTGCCATAAACAATTTCGAAAAGGCGAAGGAATTTCATTCATAAACAATCAAATTAAAATGAATAAATCAATGTGTTAAAAAAAAGTTTAACATCTGGTTTTTATTAATTAAAGTGTAAACCCCAAACGCCCAGTTAAACAATCTGAAATTTCATTTTAATACAAGTAACCAATTATTGATTTTTGTTTTCCCAAACGCAATTAGAAATTTTCTACGTTTGTGAGTCGAATTCTTGTCAAAATATACAACCTGAAATTCCACGATATGTTTGTGACTGCTTAACATTGAATACTTATAAGACTGTCTCTCTCATGCTGCCTCTATATATCCTACCCAGAGTTTATAGCTAAAGAATCAGTTCGCTCACTCTGCCTCGGTACTTCTAATCTCAATGTTCCAGTTTATACATTGCGCAACTCGGATTTTTATCCCTGGCATATAGAGAATTAAATTATAATAGCCCAAGAGCCCACTGCAAACGTTTACTCTCATCTGATAACGAAATGAAATATACCCCAAAATCATGTAAAAACAATGTACCAAATGGCACCTGTGCCGATCCCAATCCTGAGCAAAGTGGTTAAAAAATTATTTTTAATTAAATAATCACGTAAGGCATGACAGCGCTAATTTTGTTTGCCCTTAAGTTTTCCAAAAAATAACATATTCAAAAATATCTTGATATATATCGTTAAGGGGAAACATTTTAATCCTCTTAACATCGCACTAAAACATCTATCCACGTATAGTAGGTAAAAATCATTAAACATATGAATCAATTTGTGCTGATTTAAAAATTTATTTGTATACCTATTGTTGCGATTCATTTTTATAGATTGCCATAGAAACAACAAAAACTACTATGATAATGGGTGCGTTCACCAGACGGCAACAGTTGAGTAGTTGAGTAAGCGATCGCGTTCGGCGGACTCGATGACTTTACGCTGAATGTCATGCTGCAAATTTCACCCAGCGCGATGAATTTGCGCTGAGCCGACTCAACATATGCTTAGACATGCGCAGTGAGATGACAATTCATTGTTGCGCGTGCTTTCTTGATTTTTAAAACGTACATATTATGGAAACTAATACAGAAAATTTGTCAACCTACAGTTTGGTGTTTTCTGACGAGGATCAGCATCAGCCAATAATTACAAACAATATAAGGTTATGTTCAACAGTCTAATCTGACAGTTCTGTGACAGACATAGACTCAACGGTCAACGATGCGTTCAGCCAATTTCCATCTGCTGTCGGATGTTAATGCCCAGCCGAAAGTTAACTGCTGACGTCTGGTGAACGTACGCAATGGTTTAAAAGAATTGTCTAACAAGAGTTTATAATTATGACTATCTCTGCAAATGGTCTATACAAAGTCATCCTTCTTCCTTTCACACATACACATGGTTTAAAAGCTAGGTTGACCATGAATTAGGATTGTAATTTTCAGAGAAAACCCAATTGTCGCTGTCATATCTTATGTGATTCTTTTAAATATAAAATAATTTTTTTTTAACCACTTTGCTCAAGGTAGGGATTGGCACAGGTGCAATTTGGTAAAGTACAATGTTGTTACATGCCTTGCAGTAGGCTCTCTTACTATAACCAATACAATATGATAGCCGCCTATAATCAAACAGCAGTCTTCTGCGCATCCTAAAAGTGTATCCCTGGAGGGCATGTTATTTTGGAACA